ACTATATTTATGTATTGCGCGGACAGATAACAATTTCGTCCCTGCAAACCTTAAAAGCACTGAGCTTCTCAAATAACAGCTCTCAAGAAAATGGAAAACAACTCTTGTGTGAGGAAAGTTAAATATTGTTATATCAATTGCGCTCATCCTGTAATTCAGTGTTTTTCTCTTGTATTGCACTGCGATAGGATTGTAATTAAACATATTATTAATTATTATTAAAAAGTAGCTTTAGTTAGAGTGACTTGCACGTAGTGCCTAAGTGAAATGAAAGTGTTCATTGGATTTTTAGTGGTGATATATTGTCAAAATCTCTGGAATTAATTTCGTTTTCGATTTGTTTATTTTTTAATCTGGAGATTAAATTTAGTTCCTGGGAATGGTATTGTATTCTCAAATGTCAAAAACAAAATGTATCGATAAGGGTCAGTAGCACTTCAAAACAATTGAAAAAGTGCTTGATAATCTCTGGAGATCACATGGTTTTATTGCATCACAATGCATATCCAGCCATTCACTATTATTACTGAATGAAAACGAGTTTCCCTTGTAAAAACCTCAAATTCCAATAATTTTTGGAGAACTGCAAGTTAAGGTGAAGTTTATTGGTCTTGATTCCATAAGAACCGATGACCACATTGTATCCCAGTAACAACATGCGATCGAACTTTATYGTATCTCCGTTACACGTAAATGACTTACTAGGAGGTCTTACAATAGCTTAAATTCAAACACTAGACCATGGGCACACAAGTAAAGGTCTTGATATTTTCWGTTTCTCTTGTCGCATTTGGTTTAGTCGCAGTAATACTGGGAGTCTTCAAAATACATGATTCGTCGATTGTTTTAAGCCTCTCGGGAAGAGATGAGACRAAACCACGAAAACTSCACTTCCCTGACGATTATCACGCAACAGGGAGACTGTTGCTRCCTCACAGTAAAATCGAGGAGCCGTTTGAATCATGGTTCACAAGGAAGTACAATCGCAGCAGGATTGACTACTATTATGGTAAACTGATTGCTTTTAGAGAGAGTTTCCCGGTACCTGTTGCATGTCCAAGCACTTCAACAATCTTAAGTCATTTTGGCTTATTGAGCTATTCTTTGATTTAAATGATACCTTCTTTTTAATCATTGTAATATTTTTTMAATAGTTTTTTGTCTTTACTTTATTCAGTGTTTTTCGGCTTTTCAGAAGWTTATTAGGGATTTTTCATCATGCAGTTATAATATTGTTTTGGTGATCAAAACTAATGTATTTATTCAAGTCTAATTTGTTACGATAATTGATATTAGTCAACAATAAAATATATAAAATATTATAAGGATCTTTCTGGCTTTGGAATACTACCTTTGATCTTCAAATYACGCAAACCAGAATGTAGTTTGACTATCACATGATCGATCAAATCCGCAACCAATGTTCCTTTAGATTCAATGTTTTTCCCACTTTCTATGGAAAAAAGAATATTTTCAAATCATTAATTTAATTCAATAACATGAAAATTAAAGTTCTAGTTTTCTTTTTCCAGGAACGGACAAGACATATCAGCTTGCAGACATCGGACATTATGGTGGAGCATTCAAAGTGGTTCCCATGTTTGATGAYAGGAAAGGTCATTATTTTGGCTGTTGGCATTTATCAGGTATACCAAGAGCTCCAATAGTTGTACARCCCATAGTACCAAACACAACCACTTTTACAGTAAGTTTACAGGAATTTTGTTGATTTGATAAATGAAGAGGTGCAGGTCACGTGAGGAGGCTGTACATATCTACAAAATAATCATACGGAAAAATGAGGTTTCGCCCACCACGTGCTGGATCCGCCCTATAGAATATGACAAAACTTTAATATTTGCAAATGAAAAAATAGATCATCCTTATTTTTCACAGTTCGCCAAAAATGAAGTATATCGAGGGACTGCAACAGAGAGATGGGAATACCGGTACTTATCTTTCGGTCTGCTCAACACCCACACGCTTTGGGTGACTRCGACGGACCCTCCACGTCCCATTCGTTACGAGATGAAAGGCTACGATAGTCTACTGGCTTCTTATTACGACAAATATATACTCGAATACATCACTTTTGAAAAATGGGAGCCTGATTTGAAGACTTTTGAGCTACCAAAAGGTATTTATTTATCATTCATGTATATGCAACAGTGGTTCGATACCGGGGGTGTCCATAGAAACACACACTAAAGTCATTTAGATAAACGTTTGTTATAATAGCCATATCCACAATCAGTTCCTATGGGGGAGGGAGGGGGGTTACACGGAGGGGCACGCGACCCCTCCCCAAAGTTTTTGGCAAGCTTAATAAGTTTATGTATGCAGGAAATGTACTCCAGTAAATCTTTCTGTTTTAAAAATGAATCATTATTATTTATATAATATCCTCTAYATCTTAATATTTACCTTTTAGGATCATTTTGTAGTAAGCTTGCTCACTCACTCGATTCACATTTTGTTGGGAATCCCATGCAAGAGTTTATGGGCGATGGCGGAATCTCCGAGAATTCAATAGAATCAATGTACGATCAATACAAGACAATCCATAACAAGAACTACGACTCTGAACACGAACATGCTTCAAGAAAGCACCTATTCAGACATAACATGAGGTAGGTTTTTAAAAGTCATTTTCTGCCGGCTTATTTGGCTGGCTTTTATGTGACGAAACTACAATCGGGAACAAAACTGCTGCTGCCTCGAATCACAACGAAAAAAATCAGAATATTGTTACGTGATGACCTCCATCTTCATCTACTTTGACGACTACTAACATTGCATTTGGAGAAAGCAGAAGCTTTAGTTTTTAAAGATATCAGCTCTCAAAGTGAACATATATTCCATTTTCAACACAGTCGACAGCACATTATACCGGCCATTGTACCATAATCTTTCTAATCTTTTTCAGGTACATACGATCGATAAAYAGAAAGAATTTGAGTTACAAATTAGCGTCAAATCATTTGGTGGACTTGAGAGAYGATGAGTACGATCGTCATGAAGGTAAAATCTTACTATCAAACAAAAAGACTTTCAAAGTGTGACAAGTACCTCAACTAGACCGCAGACAGACAGACAGTCTAGTGACAGGCAAAAGGAACAATCAATGTAGCAAACAGTACATGCCAAAGCTGCAGAAAAAAATTCGGAAGCAAGTCATGTCGGAAAGAACGAACTTTGGCTTAGGGGTGTATATTTTGTGTCACATGACCGGTTTTTGAGTGAAAGGATTGGTCTAAAACGATGCATTAGATACATGGTACACAAAAAGCTGATCATATGACACAAAATGAGCCGATAAATGTACCACTGGTGATCCATGGTATTTGTTCAAGCACGGATTTTACTAGTAAATTTTTGGGTGAGGGCGCAGAGTGTTTCTAAATGTAGAGAAAACCCCACCCTTTGTTTAATTTTCTTTCCTGAGTGGTATGAATTGCATGGGTTTGACTTCATAATTATTCGTTATAGTCTATGACGTATATTCTTTAGTTCCAGAAGATACTAGTACCGATCACAAGGGAGGAGTACCTCTTCAGCCCCATCACCATCAACAATACAGTGAGATGCATAAAGTACTCAAGAGAATAGACGTTCCTGATGAACTCGACTGGAGAGACTATGGTATGGGTTTCTAAATTACAATCATATTTTATTGGCACCTATAGTATGATCGCGCAGTTAGATTTCTTATTAGRTAGTTATTCTGAATTCATTCATTTTCTTTTACGATTCGTTTTCTAGGTGCCGTTACGAAAGTGCATGGACAAGGTATTTGTGGATCGTGTTACGCATTTGCCGCCACTGGTGCCGTCGAGGGGGCTTATTTTATGAAGGTAACGCAATCTAGCTGTAACGCTGGACGATTTCGTGCAAATCAAAGCCGAACAGAAGTTAGGTTGGTTAGGCAGCGCGCATGTCATGATGTTAGTTAGTTAGTTAGGCGGATGACTCCGAGATTTGACAATGGAACTCCAAACGACCCTGTCTTCCATCAACGTAGCCAGCTCGTCATGATGGCATAATTGATAATCAATTTTATATTTACAGACCGGTAAGCTTGTTGAATTATCAGCTCAGCAGATTGTTGATTGTTCGTGGGGGTCTGGTAATCATGGTTGTAGAGGAGGCTATTACAACAAGGCTCTTAGTTGGATTTATCTTCATAATATATCAACGGCAGAGAGTTATGGTCCTTACTTGGCCCAGGTATACATCGATCATTGAAAATTTCACATATAGACTGAACATTTTAATCAAATGGATGTGTTGTGAATTCCGGCTTTGATGATGACGTTGATGTTGATGATGATGATGATAATGATGATGATGATGTTGTGTTAAATAAAGTGATAAGTCAAATACTGGACCAAAGTTGAAACGATTCACGACGAGGAAGATCGGTGTAATCGATCGAAACGTCGTGAATCGTTATCAACTTTGGTCCAGTATTTGACTTATCACTTTATTTAATTATCACGACTGGATGACGAATTTACACTTAGATATGATGTTGTGTTCTACAGGAAGGCACTTGTCACTTCAAAGACACATGGCTCGGAGCAACCCTTGATGCGTTTGCATTTGTCCCTAAACGTAACCACACGGCACTAAAAATTTCTGTTGCTAAGTTTGGTCCCGCTGCCATAGTGATGAACGAAAGTCCACTTTCTCTTAAATTTTACAGCATGGGTATCTATGACGACCAGGAATGTGGTGAGTAGTGTGCAATATTAACAACTCAAAATAACTGCTTAGAAAAGCGACACAACAACAACATCAACGACGGCCTCCCTCTCCCCACCCTCCAAAAAACAACAACAACAAGCGAAAATGGCCTTTCTAACAGACGCGTTTTAACGATCGAGTGCAATAAAGAGCTTTTGTACGATATAAGCCAGTGATTTTGGTAGTTCTGCACAGTTGCAGCTTCGCGCATAGAATTCATGATTGCACATAATCCTTGTTTGTTCAGATAACCATACATCCCAGCACTCAGCCCTTGTTATTGGCTACGGACAGGAGAATGGCCGTCYCTATTGGCTGGTTAAGAATTCTTGGTCTGAATCATGGGGTATGGATGGATACATCAAGATAGCGTGGAAAGGAGACACGTGTGGTATAACAAGACGTCCTGTCGTCGCTCTCATGAGACAAACCACTTTTCATTTTCCTATCAAAGAGAAAATAAACCCGATWTCAGTTAATTCTGCAGCCTTGATGAGAGGGAAAATGCAAGATTTGAGACAAGGTTTGCAGCCTCAATACCAGCCCTGACGGCTGATAGTCACTCTTCTCATAGTCCGAAAACCACTGGAAATGAGAGCGCAGAAGTCACCTTAAAACTTCAGGAACTTTCATATTAAGTGAACAAACTTGTCCCTATATAAGTTTGAGGATGAACTTGCGGTGATTGGGAACAGGCTAAGGGACTGGCCAAGATATCGAGATAGGGGACTGACCAAGACAAAACTTACAGCCTGACTAGACCCTTGGTCAAATTGACAATCATAATCAAAACCGAAAGAAATGCAACATATTTGTAAAATATTATTTTTGTAGAAAAAATAAAGATATTGTGCATAATAACGAATTCAAAGTGTTCTCTTGTCATTGGCTTTGATAAAATAGWATTTTCAATTTAGACCGCATGCATGTGGACGGACACACGCAACTTTGTACTTCTGTCAGCGTTCAGCGTTCTGTTCTGAGGGAATGAGCAATAGCCAAGTAGTGAAATTTCCTCCCATAAGCAGGGACAGGAAGCCCGAAAAATGGAGAGTCTGCGAATAAGCCTAGTCATGCATGTTATCATAGTTATAGAGATCAAATATTTCATCATGACAAGCTAATTTCATATGGAAAGATATAATGTCAAAATATACAAACAACCTATATAGTCCAAAAAATTCATGGTCGAAAAAAAAAATAAATAGCAATGAAAAAAAACTAACAACATTTGAACAGTCAAGCAATAAACAAACTAATTTGGAAAAAGAAAGATAAAATAAACAATAACAAAAAAAAAGGATAACCACCCAAATAAGAAATTGAGGAAAGAGAAAAACTATCCTGGGACTCGAACCTCTGTCCGCAAAATCTGAAAAAGATTGGGACGATTCCCCCGAGACATTCTGTGAAGCTGAGGCGTCGAATCGATTTACATTCCGGTTAGAGATTTCGGCTCTTCCATGCTAYCCCGATAATTGGTCCTAACTTCGCGCTAACTAAAAAGCCAGTGAGGGAGAAGCTATCCGGCCCCTAGACACTGATGGATAACCCCTTGCACTAACTAGGCAACTATCGAAAATGTAATGTCAAATTGGGGTAGTCTATTCGGCGAAAGTGCCAAGTGGTCTATTATTATGTAAATGAGTGTGGTACAGTGGCGCATCTTGTTAAGTCTTTGCGTACAAATACCAATGTTGTGCACTATGGTAGCGAGTTCGAGTCCCAGGATTGCACACGACAAATCATTATTGTTTTTTTATATCAWTTGTTCATTGTTTCTCTTAATTTTTTTTCGTTTGTTTTTTTATTATTGTTATTGTTATTGTCTCTTTATTGGCAAGAACATTTCACATATTTTGTTTTTACAAATTCAGTTCAATCTTCCCGTCTGATAGCCATTTCCCTATAAGTAATTGAACAATGGATTCTTCCCTTCTTGTGACAATATTTTGGGCTCCCCTATAATAAAAGTCGGATCTTCTGTTTGTTTCTTAAACCAATGAAACTGCTGCTGAGTTTGAAAGGTCAAGATAATGCTTTTTCGTTGACGCAAACGTGGCATATATCATTTTGTACTTTTTGACGGACTCCCTGTGTTGTGACTGCGTCGATCCTAGTAGCGTCATCATCACTCGATTAGCTCTATCACGTGACTACGAACACAGGACCAAGATGGCGGCTTGAAAGTGTAGTTTATTGTAGCGTCTAGTTATTGACCAAAATAATGGATTTATCTCCTGATTAATAAATATAACCAATAATCAAGGCTAACTGGTTCCTCATCCAGGATTTCATCATGTATGAAAGCACAAAAAACATGTTTTTGACGCGTGCGTTGGAGAAGATCTTGCACGACAAGGAGGCAAAGAAATCGTACCATTCACAGCTCAGGAAAGCTTGTGAAGTTGCTCTAAGTAAGTCTATAGTCCTCACACATTTTGATTATCCATCCTAACTTGTTTGCATTTTACTATTCATTATATTTTTGTGGTAAATTCTATTATTTGTTATGTAGAACTCGTTGTAGAACACGGATGTGTCAAGTTTCGAAAATAATTTCGTGTTATTTTGTATTAAGAGTTTTACTTATTTGCATAAAAAACTATTCTCTTAAATTGTGCAGGTGTAAGTTAATCATCGTTTGATGCTGTTTTAGCYAACAAAGGTTTTTTCAAGAGATCTTTTTATTTGATTTGGATGAGTGGAYTTGATCAAGTTTTGTAATATCATTGAAAATAAGCTTTACAAAAGTTCCGCGTATACAAGCTAAACTTAGTCTTGCTTGGCTGATTTATCGCATTTTATTTAGTTTTTAAGGTGTTCACATCAAATGAATACTTAAATTAATGTCGACGGTCTTTGACAATGATTCTTTATCTAATGAACAACAAGATGGACATTTTTGTGTTTGGTTGTTCGTTGTAGAATGCAGAATTCATATATTAATTATTTCAATGCACAATTCCGTCTAAAAGCTTACAATTGTATTTTATTCAATGGAATTTTTAACATCTTATGGGAATTTGCTGTTACTATGGTTATTTTGTCCTTGAATTCAGCAATTAATAATATTCTTTCAAAGGCATGCACCAAGCAGTGTCGCATGCACTAGGTTACCATGCAGTCAATCAAATAATCAGCAAGATAAACAGAAACTATTAATGTTTCATTAATATAATCAATTCTTCAATTGTCAGCATTTTTCATTTTGATATATTATTGTTYATATTATATCTTCYGAACCTGTCAATTTTACAACAAGWTATTTGAATAAWAATTATTCATGAATKTATTYTCTTTTTCTTTTGCAGAAGAGCTCAATGACACTCATGGTACTACAMCGTCAGATCAGACGTAAGTTTAGGTCTTTCGAAGTTATGATTTGAATGACATGTAAATGACTGTGTAATAAGAAGTTGGATGGGCAGGTGGGGAGAGGAGGGGGTGTTATTTAGGAGAAGATAATACAGATAAAAATATAAAATGTGCTAGGACAATTATCTCACAAATGCTATCCTCTTCAAAGCCTCTGGTATGATGTTATGAGATTAATTCTTATGTAGAGACATCTAAGTTACTGCACCTCTTAATAAAAGTTATTATGATTGGCTGACCAGACCAATAGGCTCTATTGTGAAAGCTTTGTTGCTTAGTTTCATTCTAAGTTTTGCCAACTACTTACTAGTGATGTTCTTTAGAACTGCTACCTTGCTCCTAAATTGATATTAGGAATCTTATGTATAGGTTTTTTGTTAGCACAGATAGTGAATAGTATACTAAAAAAACTACAAGCTGTACAAACAATCTTTTTTAGTGAAGGGAGTCCATCTTCAGTGCTTCCACTACCAAAAGATGCRATGCCATTCATTTATGCCGACAAGTACTTCCTTCCTTTTGAACTGGCCTGTCAATCAAAATCCCCACGCATTGTCACAACTGCTCTTGATTGTTTACAGGTACGTCTCCTTAYATTTTACTTGTAAATAACCTAATATGTTRTTGTGTGCACTGTCAAAACATTGTCAAATTTAGTTTATATAATATTGATTTGTGCAAAAGGCTCTAGGATAGCCAATATTGTTGAAAAYTAGATTATCAAATGCAGATAATTRTCTTTTAATTATTAGAATTCTAATAATGGTCAAGARATGTATTAATTTGTCAATAAAGCATATAGTTTGTCTATTGAAAATTCTTAGGCAAGGATGTTATTGGAAAAGAAAGCTCATTTCTATAGCCTTTGCTTCACCATTGCCTCTTTCTTCATCACAGCTTTACTAGTTATAAATCTACCCTGGCATTTTCTACATCTACTCAAAATCTTTATCAAGTTTCAAGTTTTTTATTTATGTTATTTCTAAAACATTTGTAGAAATTGATAGCCTACGGTCATTTGGCTGGTGATATACCTGACAGCACAGAACCAAGCAAGCGTCTAATAGATCGTATCATTGAAACAATCTGTGGGTGTTTTGTGGGAGTTCAAACCGATGACAGTGTTCAGCTGCAGATTATTAAGGTATATAACTTGTAGATCGTATCATTGAAACAATCTGTGGGTGTTTTGTGGGAGTTCAAACCGATGACAGTGTTCAGCTGCAGATTATTAAGGTATATAACTTGTGTTAGAATATAGGAAATGAATAAAAAATACAAACAAATATAAACAAACAAATTGAGATATAAAGAACATCTCGAAACAAGATAAAAATAGTATTAATAGGCAATATGCAGAGACAACATTTTGTGCAGCAAAGCATGATGGTAGTTGTAATCCTCATACTTTTTCATGTCTGCTAAAACAGTTCTTCTGAAATGTTTTTTTTCTAAGACAACTTAGAAGAAGGTTTGCTGTTTCTACAGAGAGAGTGTAAAAAGGCCTTTAACCTGGAGATATTTTAGGGTCTGTAATAAGTTTGAGAACTACAACTAACATCACACTTTACGACACAAAATAGCATAGCTGCACATTGCCTATTAAAATCATAAGTTCACAAATACAATCATGTTTCCTATAATTTCATAGGAATTAAAGTTTTGTGGATTTAGTCTATCATACAGGAATATATTATTGCTTATAATTTATGTCATGTATATTCTTGTCAAGGCGCTCTTAACTGCTGTTACATCCAACACCTGTGAAGTCCAYGAAGGAACCTTACTGCAGGCAGTGAGGACATGTTATAATATCTACCTRGCCAGCCGTAATCTCATCAATCAAACAACAGCTAAAGCTACKCTTAGTCAGATGATAAGTGTGATATTTCAACGTATGGAGCAACAGGCTGTAAGTCAATACACTAAGATAAACACAACACTTCTGTGCATAATAGACAGTTGAATATGATGGTATGTTTGGCTGTCTTGTATAGTGGATTTTTCATGTAATTTAGCCTAAGTTTAAATCAAGGCAGTGTGGTTCGTTTAAGGTGTATGTCATAATAAGACTGACAAACAAGATTAATGCTGAATTGTTTGATTTGACTTTGAAAAATAGTCAAAGCACTTGTTAGCAATAATACTATTGGAGGAAAAAGCATCATTTGATAACCACAAACTCTTCTCTGTTTGTGTTCATTATAGGCACTTGAAGAAGATGAAAATACCAAAGACAGTGAAACAGAAAGCAYAACATCAAAAGAAGAAGAAGAGAAGGCAAAGTCAAACTCTGACACAAACAGTAAAGAAGAGACAACAAGTGAAAATACTCCTGGGATAGAACAAGAATCATCCGAACATGATGATACACCAACACAAGCAGAAAACAGCTCTGATTCTCAACCAAAGTCTGAAAGTGTTTCTGATCCAAACACAGAAAAYAGCACAGTAGAAACACCAGAAGATGCTACTCAGGATAACTCCATTGAAAAAGATATTGACAAACCAAAAAGTGAATCAGAGGTAGAAACAATCCCAACTGAGCAAGATGTTGACGAAGGRGTGGATTTACAGGGTAAGTCGACTAGTATTTAATATTTACTTGCAAAATTGATAGATTACCATAGATTCATTGTAAATAGCATAGACAAGTTATTTGTACATACTTGTATAGGTTTTTAGTAATTTTCAACAATGATCATCATTTTTTAGAATCTAGAGTTTAATAATTTTAAAATGACGATTACGATTTTTAAATGTGGTATATTTGACATACCGTTTCACTGTTACTTACGCAATCATCAGAAATGAAAACAAAGTAAGGAAAGTGATATATATTATAGTAAACATAGCACTAGAGTTATGATAATGTTATGATAATGATTGTTGGAGTGAATGTATTTCAGATGACCAAATTGATGATGTCCCAAAAGATGATGAGTCACAAAGTGACGAACAAAGCAAACCAGATGAAGTTCAACTAGAAGATAATGAGGTTAATAGAACTGTGAAAATATCACTTTAAATATTACATATATGAAGTACATGATTTGTAGTTTTGTATAATAATGTCTTAATTTACTGTTCATTTTGTTTCTCCAACAGCAAACAGGTACTGATGAAAGCAAGTCAGGTCAGTGAAGCACWGTAGTAATGGATCCAAAATAGTTTGCATTTGCTATTCAAAACATAGCTCAATATATGATATGAATATCAATAGTGAACCTTAATAATATTCTCCCTGAATACATACACTCCCTAAATTAATACATTATTGAGCTATTGAACTAACATGTTGCATCATGTATGTTAAAAGTGCATTTTATTGAATTTTACAAAACAGTCCAAAACAATCATTATTATGTGTCAAAACAGAWTCATCACCTGTCAAGAATGGAGAAACTGAAGAAGAACCAAAYATGGAGCCAACAACTGAACAACATGAACAACCTGCAGAAAAAACTGAATCCACTGATGGTGTCACTGCTAATGAACAAGAGAAGATTCAAGACATTGAACAAACACAAGGCTATGACCAAGCTCAAGACAGTGACCACAAGACACAAGACAAAACCCAAACACAAGAGAATGGAGAAGTAGTCCAGGAAAAAGCTAACTCCAAAGAAGCTCCTTCTCTAGACACGTCATCTGTTACTAATGCAGTGCAAGAAGACTCAGAGCATGGCGATGATCATGAGGAAGTGAAGTCTGTTAATTCTGTCGARGGAAGTAATTCATCAACATCAATTGGTGGACAACAACCTGGTCCTGTTAAGTTTTCTCATGTGACTCAGAAAGATGCGTTTTTGGTGTTCAGATCACTTTGTAAGCTGTCTATGAAACCACTAGCGGATGGACCTCTTGACCCAAAGTATGTTACCAACTTATAGCATTTTTGTTGAGTAGTTTTCTAATTGAAATGTCTTAAATGTATGTCTTTCATACCACTTTAATGAAAACTAGACGATCAGCGATCGTTTACATGGGCTTCCTGTGGTTTATCCCAATCAGTAAATGATATTGAACCCTAATGANNNNACTCAAAAACAGTGATTGTTAATGATATTGATATTATTTTAAGGTCACATGAGTTGAGATCGAAAATCCTRTCCCTGGAACTGCTGCTYTCYTGCTTACAAAATGCTGGTCCTGTATTCCGTGACCATGAGATGTTCATCACGGCTATCAAGCAGTATTTATGTGTAGCTTTGTCCAAGAATGGAGTGTCATCTGTGCCATCAGTCTTTGAGCTTTCACTTGCCATATTTCTCACTCTGTTGTCTTCATTCAAGACTCATTTGAAAATGCAAATTGAGGTAAGTTGGATGATTTCTCCATAAAATGATGTTTGTTTTAATTTGCTGAGCTCATTGTATAACTATTGTCAGTGATAATTGTGGTAGACACAGTGTTAAGAGCATTCATTGAGTGATAAACTAACTGTACTAGATACCTTCTTATCCATGTACTTTGATGTACTTTGATGACAGGTATTCTTCAAAGAAATCTTCCTAAACATCCTTGAAACACACACCAGTTCATTCCAACATAAATGGATGGTGATGCAAGCTTTAACCAGGATCTGTTCTGATGCACAGTGTGTTGTTGACATCTACTTGAACTATGATTGTGACATGTCTTTGTCTAATATATTTGAGAGGTTGACTGGTGACTTGTCTAAAATAGCTCAAGGTAGACAGGCTATTGAGCTTGGAGCTACTCCAGTAAGTAATACCTTCCTTGTTCAATCATTTTCTTCCTTTTTGCTCAATTCTTTTCCATCTTTTGCTCTTTTACTTTCTCAAACATTATTTTTTGCCTTTACTTCACACCTTGCTTGAGGTAATATTTTCATTATTATTTCTAATTTCCTTCCCTAACTTTACTTCAATAACTCCTCTCTACTCTTTTTTTTCTTTTATTGTTTTTCTTTCATTCCTCTATTTCTTCTCCTTTGCTTTGTTTCTTCTTTCCCCGTTACACTCCATTACGTTTCCATTGTTGTTCTTTTCTTTTATCTTCTGCCCTCTCCCTTCCATCTTCTTCCTTTCATTTTCCTTAATGTGCAAGTTTCTTTTGTTCTATTGTAAATAAAACAGTTGCATTTGTATTTATGATAATGATTACGATGAAAGCGCTACTTCAACCGAAAAGTTATTTATTTTCGTCGAGCTTTCGGCTCGCCGAGCCATTATCAAGACTGAATGAAAAACGTTACATTTTACAAAACAACATAAAAACAATGTAAAATGTTTTGTAAAATGTAACGTTTTTCATTCAGTCTTGATAATGGCTTACATCGTAATGAATAGACCGACCTACAACCATTTATTTGATAGGATAATGATGTTTTATTCCTAAAATGTTAAGATGGTCTTTTGGTTATTTTCATTAATTTTGTTCAGTACTACCCTTAGTGTAATTGCCAATTATTCTAAAATATCACATATATCAATGGTACAAATGAATTTTTCCTGCAGGCACAAGAAAGAAGCATGCGTCTAAAGGGTCTAGAGTGTCTTGTGTCAATATTAAAGTGTATGGTAGAATGGAGTAGAGAGTTGTACATCAATCCTAATTCACAAGCTACTGCAGCTGGTGGTAAGTAATGTCTTCACCATCTCATTGTCTTAACTATCTATCTGAATTCTAGATTCATCACTCTATGTATTTGGACTGAAGTCTAAGGAAATCAATTGTTATTTAAGTAATATATGAAATATGAGCTGGAGACGGTCCTTAATGGGCATTTAAAACTGTGAGCTACAACTGAGCAGTTTTAAAGTCTATAAACGTCCAACACAAATATATATCTTATCAAATTCCAATAGACGCTAAATCATATTTTGCAAAAAAAAGTCAAGATAAAATATTAATTTAAAGTTTTCAATTAATTTAAGATTTTCAATTGTGTTTGGCTTTTGAAGTAATATATAAAATATGAGCAGGAGATCTTTATGGGCATTTAAAACTGCGAGCTGCAAGCGAGAAAGAGAAAAGAGAAGAGAAAATCGAAGTTAAAGTAGTATGCAAATCAGGACAAATCTCTTGCTCATATAAAGATGCGGTCACGGCAATGAATTTCCATTGTGTTTACCTTATGAATTATTAATGAATTTGATAATTATTAATGAATTTGATAAGTGATTTTTAATGTTCTGTTCATGACAGATACACCAAGCGTGAAGAGGAAGTCAAGTGTGAATGAAAATGATCTTCCTGACGAGAAAGAAAATCCTGTAGAACTCAAGACATATGGTGGCAGCCAGGAATCATTGAAGTCTGGTACTTCAGCTTCATCTAATATCCTCCCTGATAACCCTGTGGAATTTGAATCACTTAAACAAATGAAAGGTTTGATGGAAGAGGGTATTGCAAAGTGAGTTGAAAAAAGTTTGAATTGTTTTTTTTTATGTATCTACCTTGTGCTCCCATCTTTCTCTCCCTTCCTTCCATCCACTCATCCKTTCATCCCTTTTCCTTCTTATTTTTCTATTTCCTCTCCCACTTTCTTGCATTCTCAGAATTCACTGAGAGAGTTCCATCTCATATACAATTGTTGCTTTTCAGGTTCAACAAAAACCCAAAGAAAGGTGTCAAGTTTCTCCAGGAAAATGGACTCCTTGGGATGTCTGCAGATGACGTTGCAGAATTTCTTCATACGGAYGAACGTCTTGATAAAGTGAGTAGTCTATCACAGCWATAGTASATTGATATCTWATCAATTCATCTGTTATGTCATCAACGACTCGGAACTGGGTTCTGTAGTTCTGATTTTGGTTATAGACTGAGATATGTGAGTTGAGTGCGTTTGGYTTTTTGATCTCTCCCTTRAAGTGAGGGTTTTGCTTTGGTTATGCWAGTATTAAAATTCTCYMTTGTTCAAAATAGTGATAAAATATGTGATAAAATAGTCAACTCAGCAGAAAGAAATGTGAAGATAYCTTGAAGGTTACTAAAAGGGATAATGAAAGTACACATATTCTTTAATTCACTGAGGAATTGACGGATTGATGTTTTTTTACAGACTCAAATTGGTGAAGTTTTGGGAGATAATGATGAGTAAGTGTTAAAATGAAGACTCTATTTCCATATTTTCATGTCCGTTGTTTCTTGTCATATTGACTACTTTATTCCTTGTTAGTTATTAATCACAACTATAATTGTAGTTTCAGTAAAGATGTCATGTAYCGWTACATTGACAAAATCGACTTTACCGACATGGATTTTGTCAAAGGACTWCGTGTGTTCCTCAACAATTTCCGACTACCTGGAGAAGCTCAGAAAATTGATAGATTGATGGAAAARTTTGCTAGCAGATACCTTGAAACTAACCCAAGGTAAAGTAAACTACAAACTCATTCAAAAATAGTCCAGTATCAGTGATAGAACCTAAACTAGTGGTAAGCTACAGTGTGTGAGCTGYGTCAGTGTTTCTAAAGAAACATCAGTGAAATAATATAMRTTTKACACCRCAMAAAGAACGAGAATATTTCCGATTTTTGTAGAAAAAGTAATATGCAGTAATGGAATGGTAGAAAGTGAGAAGAAAATAAGGGRAAAATGAGAAAGAGGAGGAGCAAGAAGCAAAAACAYSGGTAGCTGTAGATAGAACKTATCTAYACTTAGATGTACCCATTGTTGCYTACTAGTATTGATTTCTTTTCTGTTCCGCAGTAATTGCGTGTTTGCAAGCGCAGATGCAGCATACGTGTTAGCCTACTCTATTATCATGTTGACTACTGACTTACACAACTCACAGGTAATAAAGCCCTCATTAGGCAACCTTGATGATTTATCATGCAAAATGCCATCCAATAATTGATAATATCTGTATTAAAATATTTTCATGTTTTAAGGTTAAAAGAAAGATCACCAAGGAACAGTATATATCAATGAACAAAGGGATTAATGACAGTAAAGACTTGCCGCAGGAATACCTTGAAGGAATCTACGATGAAATCTTGCAAAATGAAATTAAGATGCGAAACCCACCTAAAGCTAGCAACAATAGATATAATACCATTTGTGAGTATCTTTTTTACTTTTTATGGAAGATTATTTATGATGGCTAAATGCTATTTAAAGACGAGTTAAAATCGAAGCAATAGACTGTGTTTGCTTTATTGCTGGGCTGCTTGCTGATGGTTGCCAGATACAGCGTTCGATGGTCGCCAATGAATGGTTGGCTGATACTGCTAGTCAGCGGTTACTGAAGTACCTGTGGGGCGGTCCCCGAACTGTGCAGGGCTGTACATGCTGCTTGATTGATTGATTGTCCTGGATCCATGTCCCCGACTCACACCCAAACATCATTGCCGATTAAATTTCATTGTTTCAATGATGATAATGATGCGTAAATACTGCAGTATGTGCCATATTGATAATTCTGTGTTATTTAGATCTTCAAAACGAGAAACATCGTCGCGTCCTGTACTATCAAGAGATGGAACAAATGGCTCAAACTGCCAAATCACTGATTGAAGGAGTCAGCCATGTCCAAACCACATTTACAAGCGCAACACACGTTGAACACGTTCGACCCATGTTTAAGGTACAGTCTTTAGCATTAGAATGTCACAAACATGATCACGTGGTATTCTTACAGTGTTATAATCTACTTCACGGCTCCCTTTGCCATCTTGAAAGGTAACCGTGCCTTTACATCAAATCAACACGGCGATGAAATAATTTTTTTGTGTTTGTTAACTGCATGGCAAGCGTTTTGTATAGTCATAAACGTTTCTCAAATATCCATTAATGTTTTTTTCTAAAAAGAMTGCAATGGTAAGAAAAGGTTAATACAAGTGACTTTTTTCCGGAGTGTCGCACAACCTTCATGATCAACACTTGGCGAAACATGAAATTAAGAAGGGTGCCGATTGGAGGCACTAAAAGGGTCATCAAGTTCCCCTAATGCTTTAGAAGGGATTCCTCCCTTGCAACCAACCTTGAACTCCTGCTCAGTCTATGGTTATTGACTTGTGTGTCCGATTTGTTTGTCTAGGTTACCTGGACACCTTTCCTGGCAGCTTTTAGTGTGAACTTACAACACTGTGATGAGCCACAAGTACCGTCTTTGTGTCTGGATGGCATTCGCTGTGCTATTCGCATTGCATGTATATTTGGAATGCAGTTGGAGCGTGAYAGCTTTGTGCAAGCTTTGTCGAGGTTCACGTTACTTACTGCATCTGGTCTTCACGAGATGAAATCTAAGAATATCGACACCATTAAAACATTGATAACTGTCGCACAGACGGATGGTAACTATCTGGGCCACTCGTGGCACGAGGTTAGTCTTTATATCTGCATTTAGATGGAAAATAATTATTACTTGTCTAATATGAAATGATATTACGTCAAAGGTTAGATTTGTATGAATTACTAATCATATTCTCAAATAAAGATTTTGGGATCAAGCGAAAAGTAACAAATATTACATTATGTGCAAAAATCAACGATCGCATGTGATTACTTTTGGTAGCTTAATCATATTAGGTCAATCGATATATTCAGCAAAATGCGAAATCATTTAGTCTACGTTGTTATTTAAATTGTATTTACCCAAATTTTCCTAGATTTTGAAATGTATCTCACAACTTGAAYTGGCCCAAATGATTGGYACTGGTGTGAAAACCAGCTCATTGCCAACATCAATGAACGCCACACAATCTGGAGGATACCCTTGGGCAGGAAACACCGCTGCACACCGCTTGTCTACTCCATCCCAGGAATACGTCACTGAYCCWAAGAAATTAGCGGGAATACAAGAGACTGTCGGYGAAACAAGCTCTCAAAGTGTTGTTGTCGCTGTGGATAGGTAAGTTATGCCATAAAAAGTAGACTGCGATAGTGAATAAATGAATGAAATAATGAATGGATAGAGAAAGGAAATGATTGATCATTTGGTTATTCCAGGGTGTTTACTGGTTCAACCAAGCTGGACGGTGAAGCTATCGGTAAGATGCATGGAACCTGAAGTCTAGTCTCCTTCACAGCCTATACTTGCACACAGGAAGCCCAAAGAAAGGGTCGGCTGCGAAGGAGACTATATGAAGTCAGAAGCATCTTGATGTTCTGACGTAGGTTTAAGTTTGATTAATCACAAGATCAGAGGCCAAATTACCTCTCTTTTGCAAAGAATCTATAATATTCCAAGAACCCCTATTTAATCGCACGTATGTTGAAATATTTTACAAGAATCCTGTTGTGTTGATCTGTTGTGATTTTTGTTTTTAGTTGATTTTGTGAAAGCCCTTTGCATGGTGTCTTCTGAAGAACTGTCCAATCACAATCACCCAAGGATGTTTAGTTTGACCAAAATGGTGGAGATTTCTTACTACAATATGGGCCGTATTCGTATTGAATGGTCCCATATTTGGGCGGTGCTGGGAGAGCACTTCAATAAGGTACCCGTGTTCTTGATTATTTTATTGTTTTGCTTGCTTGCTTGTTGTTGTTGTTGTTGTTGTTGTTGTTGTCGTTGTTGTTGTTGTTGCTGTCGTTGTTGTTGTTGTTGTTGTTGTTGTTGTTTTTCCTATTGGTGTAGTTGTATGTTTTGCTTTGGTGTTTTGTTCTTATCGTGTCCAGCTTGTTTTTCTTCCTATTACGTTTTTTTGTCTATTGATATCATTGCTATCGTCTTGACTTTCGTTGTTGTTTCACAGTGTGGCTGTAATCCAAACGAGGACGTAGCTTTCTTCTGCGTCGATTCATTGCGACAATTATCCATGAAATTTCTCGAGAAGGGCGAGTTGCCCAACTTTAGATTCCAAAAAGACTTCTTACGTCCATTTGAACACATCATGAAGAAAAACAGGTAACTTTAATGATTCATTAGTTAATTATGAATTATTGATTACTTATCGATATGTTATTGATTAATTATTGATTGATAATCGGCTCGTCATTCATTAGTATCGATTAGTTATTGATTAGTCATTGATTAGTTATTGATTGATTAGTTATCAATGAGTTAGTAATTAGTTAATGATTAGTTATCGGCTCATTATTGATTAGTTATCGATTGATTATTGAATAGTTATCGATCAGTTATTGATTAGTGATGTTGGTAGTAGTATGCTAGAGTAGTATGAGGCTGACGCATTTTGCAACAACCATGTTGAAGTCATACTTTTATAACCAATGCCAATATCTCAACATACAGACACCTCGATACTCACAAAATATCTAAATAATGGGTAAATTAAATGATTGTGAATAGATATTTTAATATTGTAGACATTTCATTACTTGGTATAGAATCATTATCAATTAGGACTTTAACATATCTTTTCTGTTGCTGAAATGATTTCTTTGCTACTCCTAYCAGGTCTGCCACTATACGTGACATGGTTGTCCGCTGTGTTGCCCAGATGGTTCATTCGCAGGCTCATAACATCAAATCTGGTTGGAAAAACGTGTTTTCGGTGTTTCATTTAGCAGCTTCTGATGTTGACGAGGGGATTGTTGAATTAGCATTTCAGACTACAGGTAAGGACTAGCGAGCTGGAGTTGATTCCATGGAAACAGTTCTAACTAGTTGTTTCTGGCGGCATATTGCTTTGTTTATTGATAATTTTGTCCCATACAAGGCTTTGACTAATATTTATGTATTCTAATTATTCCCAGCTACAATATTTGAAAAGTATTTCTCCGCGACCATCGATTCCTTCCAAGACGCCGTCAAATGTTTGTCAGAGTTTGCGTGTAATGCGTCGTTTCCAGATACTAGCATGGAGGCTATTAGACTAATACGAAACTGTGGAAAATACGTCTATGAAAACCCTGAGGTAAAGTTTGACTACAACATCCAAAACACACGAAAAAACGTTCAAAATAGTTTCAAAATATCTAAACTGTAGGCGGATCCAGAATTTTCTACGGGAAGGGATTCATTTCAAAATTATCCAAAAAATTTCAACAAACACCACACAAAAGTATTCAAAGATACAAGGGATTGTTCAATATATAGGAAATAGACTATAAAACTGACCGTGTTTTATTTGGTATCTTTGTGTAGATGTTTAAGGATCACAGTTCAGAAGACGGTGTCATCTCCGAGGCCGACAGAGTCTGGGTCAAAGGATGGTTTCCAGTTCTCTTTGAACTCTCGTGCATTATCAACCGTTGTAAACTGGATGTAAGGACAAGGTAAGATTTTTATCAAATACTGAGTTCCTAATCATTCTATAGAAACACATATAGTTTAAATAGATGAATATAAAGGTAAGAAAAGTATGTTTCTTGCAGGGGTCTAACGGTGATGTTTGAAATCATGAAAAGCTATGGTAACACTTTCCTGAAGAACTGGTGGCGTGACGTGTTTCGAGTTGTGTTTAGGATATTCGACAACATGAAACTCCCTGATCAACAGATTGATTGGTCTGAGGTATGCAGACAATACACTGATAGATTGTGATGATGATGATGATAATGATAAAGGTGATATGATGATGATGATGATGATGATGATGATGATTATGAAGATTGTTATTACACATCTTTTACTGTCCATTAATGGAATATTATTTGTGAAAGTTATTAATCATTAGCGAACATGTACTAGGAACTATCGTGATTATTGGGTTCAACAATCATTTTTGACCAGCTTCATACAAGTTCCTTCCATCGCATTTTTGTCGTACGCGTCTGGATAATTTTAAATTTCCAATTTTAATTTGAAAACATGTAAAGGAGTGARTGTCATTCTGTACTCATGTTGTCAACAGAAGTCTGAATGGATGACTACCACGTGTAACCACGCCCTGTATGCAGTAGTAGAYGTATTCACGCAGTATTTCGAGGAATTATCCGATGTCTTGTTRGACGACATGTTTAGTCATCTGCTTTGGTGTGTACAGCAAGGTRAGCAGTTTTGCGTGATTTAGAATAAGGAATAGATGAAAAGCTAATAAAATTTAATACTTATAAAGATGAAATTGTAATAAAGAATGATTTATTACAAATGCATCGACCGTTCGTACGGATTTACATCAAGGAAGGGGATTTACATCAAGGAAGGAGGTTTCGGCCCCCATCATGTCATATAAGTATCGACAGACACTTTGCAATCAAAGAGGCAGAGAACGCTCGGCCCCTAGTCCATGAATGAACGCACCTTACAACTACACCATCATGTCAGCCGTTGAACACCATGATTATTGACAGTGAYTTGAAYATTTKATTGTTTCAGATAACGAACAACTCGCTCGATCAGGAACAAATTGTCTCGAAAATCTCGTGGTATCGAACGGAGAAAAATTCTCGAATGAAATGTGGGAAAAAACCTGTAAATGCATTGAAGATATCTTCTCGTCAACGTTACCGGAACAACTGTTAACYTGGAGAACTGATATACATGCTATGCCTCTGCCTACCCCTGAAGGGACGCCTGCACACAGCCCCACACAGGTATTTGGTTTGACTGAATTGTTTTRAAWAGGCACAAGAAGGCCACGTTTAAGATAAAAAAATGATAATTTCATAAACTCAAATATGAACGTCTATTTTCAGAAATCTGTAGATATGGAGTTTAGGCCAGAACACGATATMGTACCACGTCTACCTAATGGTAAGAATTTTATTCCTTCCTTCCATCTTCCCATCCATCCATCTATCCATCCATCCCTTTTTTTCATTTTTCCTAACCTACCATCCATCCCTTCCATCCGCCCATCTCTCCTACCTTCGTTCATATGCCATATATCCAACCGTTTTTCCTAACCTATTATACATTCCTCATATTCGCCCATCTCTTCGTTCATATGGGTCGGTTTTAACGAGTTTGACCTTCGTAGATGACGAGCCTCACGAAGACAGTGAACGAGATGATATCAGTGTCAGTAGCTTRCCGATCGTCAAGTTTGAACCTTCTGATAATACCAATACACAAAGTAAGCATCTATCTTGTTTGATTTARTAAACTGACAATATTCTGGACTCTTATATAGATACTTAATATTGTTTATAAAAGAGTGAAAGATTTTTAAGGAAATTTGTAAAGCATTGCTTGCACTATAGAAGCAAAACTCACAATTTCTATCTTCTCGTCGAGATCTGTATTGCGGTCAAGAAGGAGCCATGACTGAACGTTTGGACGTCTCAGCTTGAGGAAAATGTGATGATTGAGCATGCTCGTATATCTCTTGCAATATCTTAGTTTTACTGCTTTGGATGATTTATAACTTTTTAATGTATAAACTATCAAACAATATTTTCCAAAACCATAATTTCTCTGCAAACTACAATGTGTTTTAATCTTTGTATTTTTATTTTTCATAGAAACAACGTCAGAACAACTGTTCACGTGTCTTCTCATCAAGTGTGTCGTCCAGTTGGAACTTATCCAAACCATCGATAATGTCGTGTTCTTCCCTGCCACAAGTAGAAAAGAAGATGCGGAGAACTGGGCAGCTGCTAAGGTTACTGACTACGCCACGGCTACGCCACGGCTACGTCACGGCGGCCATGTTGGTGGTGATTCAACAAGAGATTCAGCTTACATTCAGAATCTATTGTTCATTCCACAAACATGGCCGCCGATCTATTGTCCACACAATTTCAATTGAATGACTGAAAAAGAGCAAACAAACTGATATTCGGCTGGCAATGCATCAAGGAAACTCAAAATATAACATGTATTTCACTAAATGTTCGATTTCATTTAAGACAAAGCATGTCAGACAGTGATTGACAAGTATTGCTTGTATTTTAGAATGACGACGTGAACCAGGGTTCCGATATTCCCTCTGATGTTGGAATGTWYCAGTTTCTCAGCTCAAAGCAGCTTTTCTCATTTGTAAAATGTTTAGAGGATTCTCATCRATTTGCTAGGAGTTTTAATTCAAACGATGAACAACGAACGTTTCTTATGAAAGCAGGTACGTATACGTAACTAACTCGTGCGTAAACGTGACTAACTCGTACGTAAACGTGACTAACTCGTGCGTAAACGTGACTTACTCGCACGCATATGAAACTCACTCGTATGTAAACATTACTAACTCGTACGTAAACGTGACTTACTCGTACGAAACGTGACTTTGTCATACGTAAAGGAGGCCAAATCGTACATAAGCATAACTAAGGTGTACATATGATGTAACGTTCACTTGCTCGTCGCTTCACGGATGAAGTGATGTCTGTTCTAGTATAATGATTATTTTCTTGATAGTTTTCTGTATTTTCTGGTAGGTTTTAAAGGAAAGTCAAAGCCTAACCTATTAAAACAAGAGACGTCGAGTCTAGCTTGTCTTCTTAGGATATTATTTCGTATGTACATGGATGACAGCAGGACGGATGCATGGCAAGAAGTGGAAACCCTTATACTAAGGTAATACACTTTCAAAGACACACTGATGTAGTGCGCTGCAATGTTGCGTTTGAGCTGCATCGTCCGCTAAAAGCTATCCAAATCATTTTGGTTTTTTTTCTTCCGTGATTTTTTTTCTACAAGGTATGACCAGTATTATTGATAGATGTTCACTTTTCTTGATTTCAGAATCTGTCGTGAATCTCTTGTATATTATTTGTCTCTTGAATCACCAAGTCACCGTGAAGCATGGAGTTCTCTTTTATTACTCTTCTTAAACCGAACATTAAGACTGGACGATCTCAGGGTAAGTTGACGCAACGCTTGTCTTACTGTAACTTGGTGGATAAAATTTATGTAACAATGGGTGGGGAGGGTTAGGGAGTATTTTAATCTGTGCAACACGCTGAATCGTAGACTCCCAATCAGAGTTTTGCACGGTTTAAGTAATCAAATAGCGTGAATTTGCTTACTGTAGCTAAGTTCAATACTTTTATGATCCGAATCTGAAAATATACTTGAAAGTAGTTTGACAAGAAGTCTGTAAAAAACGGTAAACCAGTAGCCGCGGTTCGCGCGTCTTCGTAAAATGTCTTTATTTCAATGAGTAATGCGGTTATATCGCATGCTTAGGTGTAATTTGACTTAATTTTATTTTTCTTTTGCATTGGTTTCAGCATAACTAGAACTCTACTAATGCGTGTTTTGTTGCTTTAGTTCAAGGTTCATTTGAGGGCATACTATCCATTGCTATGTGATCTCATGYTATTGGACATGAAGATTGAACTCAGAGCCGTTCTTCGTAGAATGTTTCAAAGAATACAAGGAGTTTTTAAAATCTGCGAGGTGGAATAATCAACTTAACTCCGTGGATAATAAACTGTAATGGGATTGGATAGCACTAACAACCAATCAAGATATTCATCCAGTCCTTACCAAGTGACGTAGACGTTACCAAGTGACGTAAAGGCGCGGTCCTAAATCTGCATGTTGACTACCCCACAGGGTTTTGATAAAACCAATAGAAGCTTCAGTAACATCACGTAATGTCACACGAATACGAATTGTCTAGGAAATATATGAAGGAAAWGAAATTCAATTTTATTAATAGCCCAGTATTTGAAGTCGTTCGTCGTATTGCAAGACATCATGGGAGGTCTTCTRCATACCATGATGCCTTGMGAAACAAGTACATGTCATTATCAATATGGCTGTTTCGATGGAATAATGCAAAACCTCTTTACTTCTCTCGCCTCAATACCTTATAAAACAATATTCAAGTAATCAGAAATTAAACATGTAGGAATTAAGTCAGAATCAGATCAGTCTGGGATTAAGTGCAGATTTATAGAAATAAAAATGGAAATGCAACCATCCACTTGGCCTCAACAGTGTTGACCTCTGAACATAACCTCTGTAACAAATCCATTACGTAGTTCTCCTATGGCGCGCAAACAATCGAAGTACCTAAGACCTGTCATTGTATGTAACGGCTGTTACTTAACGCACTCAAAATAATAATCGTACAGCGCAACTGAAATTAGAATAAAATTATTCAAAACTGGATTGTTTATCTTGCTATTTAGTATGTATCTACAACACTTTGAACGTAGACATGCATGTCTTGCACTGCAAAGTACTATACATTTTATTGAATGTTAGGATATACATACGTTACGCACTCAAACCTTGTCAATAACGGGTAATTACATACCAGGTTTAACGGTGCTTTTAAACGGCAAGAGGCTGGAACTGAGCAAAGAAGATGAAAATGACACTAAATAAAACAATGTCATACATTCCAGCATGTTTTTGTTTTTATTGTGATAACATAGTTCGTCACTGCATATAAGGTTTTAGGCAGTCGCTGGTTTAGAAATCATACTTCTGCACCTTCGTACCCATGACCACAGTTGGACGGGACGGGCTACACTAAGAGGGACTGGACAAGAACAATWTAGAAGCAAACAAATCAGAGCTATTCGTACAAACAGGACCTCACGACACGTATAATAAACGTTTCGACACATTTCGATTTGTCTTACAATGAATACGTCGGGCGACAAACCGTATCTGGATATCTCCAGGAGGAGCCGACGGGGTCTGCATGTTCAAACTGTTTTTGTACGAATTTTTTCCTGGGAAAGGGATTTTGAGCTATACATTGTTGACATTCTCAACAGGAAATGTTACGCCCTTCCTTCTTTAAAATAATTTTGTTCCTGGCAAAAGTTTTTAAGTTCTAAAGGTTTATATGACGTTTTTATGGTCAAAAGCGGCTTAAATGTTTTTAGTTAGGAAATTTTGATTTTCCTGGCAAAAATTCTYAGAAAGTATTCCTTGCCTGGAGAGTTATTTTTTCCTGAATTTCTCGCTGGCAACCAGTTGTGACTYACAGCTGGCTGGGACATAAGAACAGATATATTTCTCCCGCAGGAACCCGTCGAGCATCGGCCCTTACAATGGAGACTCTTGAAAACACTCCGAATGCAATTTCTTGTAAATTCCCAGTTACGTATGTGTGGCAAGGCCTCTGAGATCAGTATCTTAGCCAGATGGGAAGTAATCACTAATCTATCAATTCATTGGTTGAACTTAAAGTTTTARCCATACTTGTGACTACAAGACGTGATTTTTGTGTCCCTTTTGGATTAAAATGAACAATGCTTCTATATAATAATCTTTATTTGCCCAGTTGATTGATAAGTACAGTACTAATATAAAAAACAAGTGAATACCAAGTAATGGGGGGACCTTATTGCACTTTTGGTCACCAGCCTAGAATGAGTCGCCTGTTCTTGCTTCAGGATTCCTGTGCTTTGAGAACATTGAAAGGCTGGACGCTAACAGGTCACGAAGGAGAGTAGGTGTGATTTCCTTTGTCAAACTTACTAGCCAGACCCAAATAAAGTCCATTAAAAGTGATCCGGCCAGTCAGCTTTGATGGTAAACACTCTGGAAAGGGATGAGTCGAGTAGAATGGATGGACCTTTTTCCAATCCAAACTCAGATGTAAAATATGCGGCAATACTTTACCATTCTCGCCATTCTATTCTAGCCATCCCATTCCAAAATTACCATTGATTATAAGTGACACTAAACGCTACAGTCTAGTCTCGCTGTTGATGGGACAGCCCAGTGAAGTTGATATTATGAATATGAACATAGTGACTGATTTCGTAAAATTGTTCACATAGTGTATGACCGTAAAGAAGAGAAGTGTAGATTGCAAGGTATATTAGTGATCTCTAAATACATTTAGTATTACAATATTTCCGTGTGTGCTTATATCGAGGATAAAAATTATCAGATTGATGTCGTAAACTAGTACAAGTTTAAACTACTTTCTTCGTCCAGTGTAGTGGTTTTAGTCCGGTAGGAATGGCACATGTGGTCTGGCAGCAAACAGACTATCAACAACAGAGGGATCGTAGATGGTCGACAAATCACCAGTCTCGTGCTCATTTTTGGCCACTTGACGTAAAATACGCCTCATTATTTTACCAGATCTKGTCTTGGGTAGAACAGGAGCACTTTGAATTACATCAGGAGTTGCGAATGGACCGATTTTAAGACGWACTATAATGAGAAAATAAATAATGTTAAATAGAAATAGCTTCTGAAAATATTGTACATGTAGAGCTGAATGCGATAGACTGGGTGGGGTCTGAGAAGGAAAGAAGTTGGAAAGGAAACATGGAGAAAATAAGGCGGAAAATAAAATGGAAGTGAAACAGGAAAAAAAGAAAAGTGGAAAGGTAAGTTTTGAAGAAAGGGAGAAGGAAAAACGATAAATGAAAAAGGAACAATGGTTAGAAAGAAGAACAGACAACAGAGGAAAGTAGGAAATAGACGACTAATGACAAACCTTTATCTTTGAGTTCTTTWATCAGTTGATCACTCATTTTTACATCCTACAACAACATAGTAACAAATTGTTAACTCACAAAAGAGATACTACTAATGATTACTGCATAAGGCTTTGACGTACCTCCATTAACGACACGAAACAGTAGATTCCCTCTCCCTTCTCTTTATGTGGACACGACACCTGACAAAAAATGATAAAGTCAAGTCAATCAGTCATCACTCTGGGCTAGGGGGGGGGGGGAGGGTACTTCTATTACAGTAAAGTGATCTTCGGTGAGCAAACAAACACTGTGATACAGGTCAACTAAGATAAACCTTTTAAAAAGGCACTTGCATACGAGAAACTTTGCCCYCGTCTGTTTTGTTTTGAGAAAGATTTGTTGTACAAAGTCGCTTTCTGATAGTCTACTCCTAAAAAAATCGTTGAAACATTTAAAACTGCACAAGATGGAAATGGAAAAAAAATGGTGTGAAAAAAATCGCCTTTTTAAGTTCACTGGATGCATGTGAGCCGAGGTTAATTCATGCCTGCATCTTATTTTGTGAAACGAGTAACCCGTAAAAACCTTATGATAAATCCCTCCTTCTCCTTTTAGAAAAAAAAAACAAAACGCCAAGGAGAGTGTGGAAGAAGCAAACCACCGGATAGCGTCATTCATTGCATAGATTTTAGATGGATTTTATCCGGTAAACAGGGTGGGTCAAGTCAACAGCGCTATACAACCCCTTCACCCTTCCTAGAATAGTGGCCAGGAGATAATTCAAATCCACGAGTTAAATAGATACGTACCACAGCTGCCTCGCTGACTGCATCGTGTTCAACAAGAGCACTTTCAACCTGTGCAGTGGAGAGTAAATGACCTGATACATTCATACAGTCATCTGTACGRCCTGTTACCCAGTACATCCCATTCTCATCACGACGACACCCTAAAATACAACACTCATTAGAGGCAAAGCCAAAAATAAAGGGGGATTAAACATCTCAGTACCAACTGTAGGTAAACCTGGTTTCTTGTCATGAATACAGAGTTTATGAATCACATGGTACTTCACTTGAAGCATTTGAAATAAAAATGTGACCGGTGTTTGAGAGCAAAGTCTTTGATTTTGGTCTCTGGGGTGGTGCATATAGTTCACTACAGCCCTACCAGCCCTACCCTTCTTAACAGCCATTACCCCATCCCCCTCGCACCCATCCACAATCATGGTCAGACCTTCTTACTTATCACCCTTCAAAGTATCAAACATATCTCCCCWTGATCTCAAATTGATAAACATTAGAGTACTCTTACCATCACCAGTGAGGTAACACCCCTTGAATTTACTGAAATATACTTTCTCAAATCTCTTATGATCTCCATAAATTGTACGTGCAATACCAGGCCAAGGACGCTTGAAAACCTGTGTCATAACATTAACTTAGTACCATGATCTCTATGATTAGTTTGGACATTTAGCCTTGGATCTAGACTGACTTATATGTATGTCACTTGACAAACACAGGGAGCCCAACGAGCAGCAAACAAGTTAACTGTTGTATATATAATGTTCTAGAGCGGATTTCGTATGACTGTGCAAAAAAACACGGTACGTTCGTGCTGTGTCCGTACCGTGCCGTAGCCGTGATGCATTGTAAAATCTTTACTTTCATTTGAAATCCTAGAAGGCGAGGTTCCGTGACCGTGCTGTGCGGTATCCGTGTTGTGATCCGTTCTTTTGCACAGTCATACGAAATCCGCTCTATGTACCATTTCTGGTATTTATGGAATAAAGAATTATTATTATTTTATAAYCAGTCTACTTTCTTTGTCCAAATATTAATAAATGAAACTCCAAACATCCATGACCATTATCCAGTCCTTGTCTCTCTCTCCCTTTGACCCACTTCTAGAATTGCTTTTTTCCTTGATCCTGGAAGTGGGTCGAAAGGAATCCTATCGTCCTTAGCTGGACTACAAACAATAGTGAACAGYGCTGAGTCCACAAAGAGTGAATAAYGCCACTATTATACTRCTATAACATATCARTAAGCACATGTYCTTTACCAAGAAGCCTTCACAAGGTCCTTCAAGTTCTTTKCCATTTTCATCCATAATGGCTGGATCAATACCAAAGAATGGAAAAGTCTGAGGAAATATAATATAAGTATAAAAATAAGGTTTTTACCAAATATTCTTGCTAATTGTGGTATGTTTTAATGGATATATTTGGATTTTGTACACTTTATGTCCTCTTTCCTTAGTTTGCCACACAAGTTTTTTGAGAATTGTTATAAATACTGACAGCATTCTTGAGTGGATTGTAAATTTAAATGTCATTATTACTTACAGCAGCTCCTGGCCGCATGGGTGTGGCCCCTGGCAGAGGTGCAAGTACATGTCCACCCTAAATACATTAAAAGGTAAAAGATATAAAAAAACATAGATGAAGAATATTTTCTTAAATAGGCTATGAGGGACACAGCAATCCCARGCCCAAAAATACTTTGACATGATAATGAACAATATCAAAATTTTCTCTAAATTTCTGACAAAAACTCTAATAAAACATCCTTGTGAAAACATTTTACGAATTTCCCATATCATTATAGCCTGAGTGAGGCCAGTTAAAATTATCATGAGTCAATCTTTGTGTTCCTTTCATAGCTAAATCAAGTGTATATTTGAATGTTAGATATTACCGTCTCAGTCTGCCAGTATGTATCTACAACTGAACAGCTGCCATGACCAACAGCATGGTAGTACCATAGCCATGCTTCAGGATTGATAGGTTCACCAACTGTACCAAGAACTCTAAGAGTGTCGAGACTACGCCTATGGAATGAAATTAAAATGAAAATAAATCGAATGGGTTCACATCCATGTTTCTATGGGAAAGTACAATCGATGGGACAGGATTGGGTCCATTATCTTATGCAGAGACTGGAAATCAGTTCTAATACTTACTTTTTCACCTCCTTGCCATGTTTCATSAGAGCTCTGATAGCAGTTGGAGCTGTGTAAAACTTCTGCACCTTATACTTGTCAACAATATCCCAGAAACGTCCAGCATCAGGATAGAAAGGTGTTCCTTCAAACTAAACACCAAATAATGAACTAAATCATAAGAATGTATACACCTACTTGCAGAAACATTGTCATAGAAAATAGAACATTCGAATTTAGTAAAAAGGAATAAATTAAGACAAAACAAAAGGAAGCGTTCAGCCTCAGTGACCTTATTTTGTCTTTATAATTTATTTCTTTTTACTAAAATACAAATGTCCTATTTTTTTATGACAATGTTTTCGCAAGTAGGTGTATGTCCATAAAACATAAAAGCCACAAAGTTTCCATTTGTTATTTCCTGTTAAAAATAAACTGTGAAATCTCACAGTTTTTGAAGAAAAATTCAAAAATTTCCTAGAGTTGTGTTGTTATTGAGAACAATCCATGCAAAATATCAAAGTAAATAACTTATGGGAGGGAATAAGTATTGTTGAGCTTGGCATTGTAAAATTACTTAAAGAAAATGACAGACTTCTCAATTCTAAGATATAAAATTGTCTGAGGACAGCCCCATGCACAAGGAATGGAAACCAGAATTGAACCTTAACTTCAATAAATTAAAATAATTTCATTATAGGAGCAAAGCCTGCTTAAAATCCTTTCAAAATGTTAGAATAAAATCTATAATTTGTTAAGAAAGTAAGAGGAGATCATAAATGAGGGGAATACATACCAAAACACTAGTAGCTCCATTAGCCATAGGTCCATAAGTGATATAACTGTGTCCTGTTATCCAACCTATATCAGCTGTACACCAATACACTTCGCCAGGATGATAGTCAAAACTGTACCTATACATTAAAATAAACAATTAGAAATTACAATTTTACATTAAGTCTA